AAGATATAGATAAGAGCTCAGTCATGAACTGGGGTCAACTAATATAAGAGTACAGTACTGTAGCCATTTGACCACCAACGTACTTAGAAACTTAGCAACATGAGTTTGGGGGACCCTCTCAAGGCTATTTGTGTCTTGCATACGGTGGACGATAACTCTCACCGTTCCTCTGAACCCCTGTAGACCTGGAGCCATGGCCGTAAAAAAGACCCTAGTATTTTAAGCAAAACTTCAACTTAAGAGGTTGATAGTATTCCTTTTAGGTATTACGAAAATGATCGTTTGCTAGCTCATACACACTATCTAAAATATCTCAGAAACTACAATTCGGACTTGTAAACTGTAGAAACATGAAGAAAGTTCAAGCATTTCTACTTCTTTGTAATGACCTATTATTCAAAATTTTATCTAAGCGTGATGCCGTGTTAGAGAGGTGAAAAGGGAAAAATAGAGTCGAAAACCAACTGATAACGAGTTTTATTGAAGATTAAAATATCTCAAAAAATAAAATTCAGTTCTGCATACTGTACACAAGAGAAATTTTCAGCATTTCATAATCTTTTTAATGACCGATTATTAAAAATTGTATCTTAACGCGACAAAGAGCTAATTTCCGGAAAATTACCTTTTTGATGGGTTCAAATGCCCCTAAAACCGTATATTAAGCTGTTTGAGCTGACAGACGTGTATTTTCGTAATACATAAAAGAAGTACTACTTCAGCCTGCTAAATTGAAAATTTGCTTAAAATACTAATGCTACTAATACTAATACTAAAATACTAAGGGTCTTTTCGGCCCTGGCTTCAGGTCTATAACCAATCAGTTCGGAAGAAGGTTCATTCTGATAAAGAAAAATCCTTTATCATCTTCCGCTGAATTTCCTAGCTCCCTTCTCCCAACTTCTCTTAAATACTCTTTCCATCTGTCAATACATCTGTTACGTAAAATAATATTTCCATAATTATCCTTGTTTTTGCCTCGGAGATTTTGACGGTTCTTTCCTTATTCCCTTCATATATTTTTAGAAATATTCTGGTTCATTTACGCGTTTTTCCCAATTTAAGTTTTATTATTATAATTAGATATTTTATTATTATTTTTGGCAATTAGATTTGTGTATTAATATTTGTTCGTTAATACAATCAAAATAATGTACAAAAAACATATTAATAGCACTATAATAATCCTCTGTTCGTTCCCGGTCTTTATACACCTTGAGGGCCCACCGAACCGCTGCTTTCGACAGATCGTTCATTATCCGATCCTCCTCCCTATGGAACTCCATTCCTCCCTACATTCGTTAATCCAATACCCTTCCTACCTTTAAATCCCGCCTGTTCAATAATTTCTTATCCCATCCAGTCCCCATAAAATTATTAATAGATACTATTGTAAATATGTATATAAATTATTAGATCGTTCTTCATTATTTTTAGTTCATGTTTATTTTTAATTTTTAATTATTAACAGATTAAAATTAGATAGTAACTTCTATTTTTTTATTATGCCTATTTAATTACTATGTATTTTTGTTTATGTATCTCTGAGGCTCCTTAGACCACATTTCTGTCTTTTTGTATTATTCTAAAGGGGCACGTCCCAGAATAAATAAAGTATTATATCGTAATCATGCCATTTATGAGTGGCACTGAAAGATGTGGCAGAAAACTAAAGGCTTACGCCAGTATCGTTTTTCTCCTGATGGATTGAATTTTCTTAGAAACAGTTTCAAATATTTTAAAAATTAATCTTTAATTTAAGAATAGAAATGTATTGTCCAGATGTTTTATTTCAGGCCCGTTTGTTGGTCGTTTAATTACAAATGACGCTTGATTTTCAACTTTTGTTCGAACGACTTGAAGAAGTTAACTGTATTATTTTTTTTATTTCCCAAGTAAATTGTATTTAAAAAATATTTTTCATGTTTTATTATTCTCTGACTATTCAAATTTAATAAAAGGTCACTGATTGTCACGCAATCAATAAATAGATATAAAAAAGCCAAATTGAGGAAACAGATCTACAAGGTCAAGCACAAAAATATATATACAGATATATATTTTTTGTCGTCTTCCAACGTAATATTACTATACTTTTATACCATATTTTTATGATTTAGTGTGCCCTGAATACGATACATATCATGAGCGTAAGAGTTGTTTACTAACCTGTGTCTCCTTCCGTTTCCTAGGGCGTAGATTTGGCCCGTCCTCGAAAAAAATAATTATTGTTTACAAACATCAGAGCCAATTATGTCATCGTATTCTTGGAACGGAGTATTATCATAGTAACAGCTGTTTGACGCGTAGTAGACTTTGGAAGAAAGGAATGAGTCATAGAGTAGGGATATTCCATGTATCGGGGATATTCTGAGCTAACGATGGCTTATTTAAATGCCAAAACACAGTACCGGATCCAGGATTTCAATTGGGAGGGCCCGTATTTTTTATTTTTAAATATGGGCAATTACGCTGATAGTAAAAGAGAAAAACAGATAGAAATAAAATAATGTTTACCTGGTATTAATTGAAGACCTGTTAACAAAAAAAAAAAAAAAAGGTGTGTGCTTTAGACCAAACGATAGAAGTGAAAACATCGATGAGACGAGAATAATTATATGAAATATAAATTATAAACAATAGCTCATTATAAAGAGGATGAAATGCTGAACAATTCCCTCACTTACAGTATGTAGGTGCAATTTTTAGTTTCTGAGATATTTTAATCTACATCTTCAATATAAATCGTTATCATTTGGTTTAGGAACTATTTTTCCTTTTTGACTCCCTAACAAGGCGTAGCGTTAAGATACAATTTTGAATAATACCCCTTACAGAGGGGATGAAATGCTGAACAATTCCCTCGCTTACAGTATGTAGGTGCAATTTTTAGTTTCTGAGATATTTTAATTCATATGTAAAAACACTTCAATTAGTCGATTCCATCCGACTTTACCCGAGCGTAACACATCGCTGATCTGACGGCTCAATCTAATTCACTCTCCACAAAAAAAAAAATGCAAAACGTGCCTACATAAGTTTTCACTTAAAAAAAAAAAATGTTAGCAGGAACAATGTTTTTATAGATACATTTTTGTATATTTTTTCTTGACACGTATTATGATTTAGTAGCTGAAATATATGCATTATAATTTAAAATGCATATAATATAATGGAAATGTATTTTTCCAATTTAATCACAGTGGCAGTAGCCAGAACATGTCCGATGATCTATGTACATACATTGTATATCAAAAGTGTTTTATATAACATAAACAGGTGTGCCCAGAAGGGGGTTTCATGGAGCAAGTTGTGCCATCAAAATGTTTTATAGGGGCATATTTTGACGGGTTTTTTTAATACTTGAGGGGGAGGAATTTTGACAGGGTTATGAATTTTCGGACTAAAGGACAAGAAGAAAAACATTTAACACACCGCAGCAACAAGTGTAATTATACATGATTAACGCTTTTTCTAATTCTGCTGTAGTTTGATCTGTTTTTAAGAAAACGTGAGCAAATAAAATATTTTGGGAGTTGGGAGGGGGGGAAGTAGGTTTTTACGCCATTGACCTTGGGGGAGGGGGTAATGAACGTAAATGTGTTTTATTCATTTGAAAAAAGCAGTTATGAAAAAATGTTAATACTTAATCAATTATTTCTGAGAAGATGGGACAGGCAATAAAATAAATAATTATAAAGATCACAGCAGTTATTTAAAAAATATATATTCAACAACATTTTAAACAAAATCTCGTTCACAAACGTTATAGCTTTAAAGAAACAAGGAAATTCAACCTCTGAACTGCATACAAATTTTACTTAAATTAATTTTTATAAAGTTAAGAAACATTCAGAATATTATATTAATTATAAATAAAAACCTAACACATAATAACATTTATTTGAATTCAAGTACCTTCTTAAAGTATTGGAATTCCATTTAAGGATACATAGATGAGTTTAAGAACAGTTTGTGGATTTCTGATGCCCTTCAATGAGCTCACTGCTGAATTTAGAAACAGCCTGATGCACGGGCGGATCTACGGGGGGGGGCTTTCGGGCTGAAGCCCCCCCCAAAATGGTAAAATGTAACCATATTTTACAGAAAAAAATACTTTATACTATCTCTTAAAGTATTCTTGTTGGTGTAATTACGTTTAATAGGACTTCAAGAACCACTTAAACACCATTTCATATAGATAATTAATTAATTTCTTTTTTTTAAAATTAATTATCGTATATATATATATATATATATATATATATATATATATATATATATAAATATATATATATATATATGAAAAAAAAAACTGTCGGGTTGAAGCCCCCTCCAAAACTAAATCGTGGATCCGCTAGTGGCCTGATGGATTTCCGCTATCCATAGTTGACCTGAATGCAGGGCTTAGGAACTTTATTATATTACGAACTTACTGATAACAGGACAATTATTAAGATAAAAGGATTTAAGAAGCGTCTTACGTACATTTTTTACTTTGTATTCTTTAAAATTCTAATAAGTGGACATTTCAATCAAGCGGCCAAAGTTTCCATAACTGATGGTATCTGGCGGATATGGAAAGTTTCACGGTTTTTTTTTTTTTTTTTTATATAAAATCTTCTTTATTTTGGGAGTAACGCTCTTTCGCATAAAGTCGGCTCTAATTGACTAATTTTCGCATTCGGATAAAAATATCTCAAAAACTAAAATTCGGACCTGCATACTGTAATGGAGGGGAATTTTCAGCATTTCATCCTCTTCTTAATGAGCTATAATTTAAAATTGTATTTTGATGTGACGTCGAGTTAGAGAGTCAGAAAGAGAAAAATATAGTGCCAAAAAAAAACAACATATAATGACTGTTTTGATTTGGTTATTCGAATTTTGTTGATATTTTCAATTCGTTAGTGTGGTCTTAGGTTTAAAATTCGGAAACCTTTTAGGATCCAAACTGATGACAGCTACTGGAAGGACGGCCGTGTAAGAGATAACCAGTGATAAGAGTGTAAACACAGTCAGCTGATCAGAGGAGGGGGGAGGGGGGTCGCTCTATAGACTACCGCCACAACTGGGAGTCGTCAGTCAGTCTACTGGCTTCTCTTAGAAGGTATCGTCCAGTTCAGCAGTTGTTTATCTACGAACAGTACAAAGTGAGTAGTCACTATAATATACTGCACGATATAATATTAGCTCTTTATAACAAACATTACAGTACCAAGTTCCACAGAAATACATCGCAAAACAAGCTCAAATCCACTTGTTTATCCCGTGTGAAACCAGTATAAATATTTTGACAAGTACTGATAAGAATGTTGTGACATTGCTCTCTAAATATAACGATAAACAAACTATATAGAATTCTGACTCTATCAATCATATAATGAAAACTTGATATTATTTAAACATTAAAAAACTGAAAAAAAAAACTAGCTGATTTCCATGTTTTAAATTTTTAATACTTTTTCTTTTATAGGTATTATTTGTAAAAAATAGCGTTATTTAGGACAAATATCGTAGGGAATAAAATTTTAATAGGTTATAAAAATTAATACATTATATCAAAATTATAATTTAATTTAAGTTATTAATAAAATCTTTTACAAATATTTCAAGTTCTTATTTATCTTGATATATAATTGTACAAAGAACATGAATTGACAATACATAAAAATGTTATTTATTACTTCAACATTAAAAATTAAAGGAAATAAAAATACAAAACTGATATCTGATTTACTTATTGGTTAAAAACAAAATTGTAATGGATATTATTGTGGTATGAAAAAAATTGCTAAGTGAGGTAAAAATAATTACAAATAACTAACTAACTGATATATTATTTTTGTTAAAAGGTTTTATATTGAACCTACTTTATTTTTAAATTTGAAGATATTCGTTGAATTAACAAATAATTTAGTATATAATTCATCTCGATAAAAAAATGAATAAAAAACATCAAATAACCAACATCCTACTAGAATTAAATAAATAAAATAAGTAGAGGTTTAAGGAATAAGATTAATAAATGAGATAAAAAAATCGATAAACGTCTAAACGATGAAATAATAACATTTTTGAAGAATAAGAAATGAGAGTTCATAATATTTTGTTTTTAAAATAATATACTTCACTACAATTAAATTTGAAGATAATGACTAAAATGAATTAATTTGTCAAGATTACAATTTTTACTTTCTCTCACCCATTTATAGTATTGTTATCATGAAATATTTCGAATTCCAGTTTTCAACGGAAATAAATGTATCAAGTCCAAATAACCAAGTATCGCAAAAATATATGTATGTGTGTGAAATGCTTCACTCAAAAATGAAAAGGCATACAAAACTGAAATTATGTATTTAAGCTATGAGTATTTTCCGCAAGTTAGTTAGTTTGTTAGTAATGATACAAACATTTTATCAAAACAGAAGTAATTAAATAATATATCAATAACAAAGTAAGTAATAATAAAAATAATAATTAACAATTTGCATCAAAATATCTGTAAACTTAATTAATGTTGGTATATTTTTTGAATGTAGAGTAAGAATTCATATGTTATTTTTTATAGCCAAAAAATACCGTATTATATTTGAGATATAGATATAAATAAACCTACTTATAAAAATATGTAAACATGTTCGTATAAAACATAATAATCATATATGTATGTTTGGTGAAATAAAACCAAAAACTCATTGGTTTCAAATGTTGTTTACTCAACAAATTATATCAAACCCTTTATTTAAAAAAAAAATTCTTTTAACTTTTTCTATATATTAATAATAACACTATTAATAATGTTCTTTTATATCTTCAGATCGCTGGTTCCGTATCTGTATTTAAAGGTTACGGTTTTATAACATGCTTGCTTGTTATCTCAATAAAGGTCCAACTGATAGTTCGTTATTTTCTTCTTCGGTATCTGGAGCTATCTGTTTGTTGACTTATCTGAGGAGGCAACGTAAGATTTTTAAAACATGAATAATATGGAATATATTTACGCTTTTAAACAAATAATTGAGAAGGGTTCCAATTACAATTTAGTGTAGCCACTTCTTATAAATAACAATTTTTTTGAAAAATTAAAATTAAAAAATCATTTGGTTTATTTCAGAACATAAATTTACCCCTATAAAACTGGATTTGTAATAGGAATTTGGCTTATGTACATGTGGAGTCTCAAAATTATTTTCCAAAGTTGGATGTATGTAGATGGAGTGCTAAATGGCTAATTAAAAAAAAAATGTCCTACGGTTTTAAAATTTTCAAAATTAATCGAACGAATATAAAATATCTAATAGGTTCATCTTTAATGTCAGTTTAAAACGGCTGTAAACCTGATGGAAAGTAATCACGTGTTTGGCCAGTATGTAATTTTAATGGAAAACGAATCTGAGGAATGTCATAATCAATCATGGAATAACTTTTTATTTAAATATGAAATTTTTGTTTATGGTTTTTCAATGCGAACCCGAGCGAATCGGTAGAGAGAACACTGCCAAATTGACCCTGGAGCTATGAGTAGCTGACAGTTGTACCACGGAAACCATGGTTCGTAGCAAGGTTGGATGACCCCTTTCAAACTGTCTCGCGAGCTATACTATCTCCCCAGAAATAGTATATAGAAAAATATTAATGTAGGAAAGTAACGTGACTTTATTGGTACACATGTGAAGAACAATGTCTTGTAGTCCGTGGTACATAGCCCTTTTTATCAAATTATTAACATTCGGCTGAAACTTAGTAGATAGCTTCAACTCATCGTACAAATATTTTATTTACGAAAATTCTAGGGATTTGGGCTTTTTCTATCTGGAGGTCAGCAAACTTTATCTATTTAGTCAGGTACTAAAAACTGTTAAATAGCCATTTGCTTTCAACTCGAATCGTAAGATAACTTCAGCAGAAAGTTGAGAAAAAAGGTGATCTTCAAAAATATTGAGACGTTTGGCCTATATAACCTCGTTATTTTGACAATTTGGGGGTGTAGGTCACGCCAAATGGCTCAATATTTCTTAAGGCAACCTTTTTTATTGACTTTGTGCTCAAGTTATATTACGATTCAAGTGGGAAGCAAATGGGTATTTACGTGTTTTTAGTACCTAATTAAATAGACAAAGTTTGCCGACCTCCTGACTGAAAAGGTTCCAATCCTGTGAATTTTCGTGAATAAAATATTTTTAATTTATGATCAGATGAAGCTATTTACGAAGTTTCAGGCGGATGTTAATAATTTCATAAAAAGGATCTATACCAGAGACTATTGATCAAGGTTGTGATGAAAAAAAAATTTAGAGGTCTTAACGGGCCTGTAAGGCCCATGGTAATATCTCCTTGTTGGCTGAAAATTTCTCAACTACAATTTCTTGATCAAGACTTTGTTAAAATATTTATTTATCCTAGCCATTTACACTGATCATTTATACGACACCTACTTTATATTCCATGTTTAAAATTTGTTAATGTCGTATTAGAATATAGACACACGCATATTGCATTGAATGTTGGCTTTACAGACTTCGTAGATCTTTTGATAGCTTAATCAGTCTTCTCTATGTATGCCTAACATGGCAGATTTCTTTCAAGTTAGGCAGATGAACTGCCTAACTCCATAATGCTTTCAAGCTTATTATCTACATATGCAGCATCTTTGTTGTTTCGATGTATATCTCTAGGTTTTGTCCTTCCACGGGAACTGTTGTCTACTTTAGAACTATTGAATGTTCTGTAGAGGGTTCCTGATGCATTGTTCCGAAATAGATGGTGTATCAATTTTAAGATTCTTGTCTTCAAATCATGAGATATTGATTGACAAGTTTCTGTAAGTAGTTCATCATTGGTTCTTTTGCCCCATGCGCTAATAATCTGATCCCTGATCGCTCCGGTTTTCGTGGCGAAGATTTTCCAGGATATTACAGGTTTTATAGCCATAAATTAGAACTACCTTTATCATAGTATTCTACACTCTTTGATTTGAGATTTCTCGAGAATTTTCAGTATTTTTGTACTTATGCTTGTTATATTTTATTATATTGAGTTGGCAAATAAGTCGTTTTGGGGTTTTCTGTTTATTTTTATGTAACTATGAAACACTTCTTATCTGATGAATTAATTCCTAAGGTGGATCATTTATCCTGTTTGTAATATTTCAACAACTATATCTGTTACCTGTTGTGGAAACTAGCTTAGTATTGTGTTTGCTATTGCACTGTCAATATGGAAGAAAATATCATTCATTATCGGCATATTTTGTTGTATTATTTTAAAAAAGGTAAGCGTATTGCAGAAGCTCATCAATGATGCTCAACGATTTGGTCGCCCACATGAAATTGAAACGAGCAATGTTAAAGCCATTGTTGATCAAAATCCCACCCAATCAGTGCGAGAGATTGCTATGGTTCTAAATGTGTCGCACACAAGCGTAGAAAACCATTTGCACAAGCTCGGCTATGTTTCCAGGCTTAATGATTGGATCTCTCACATGATTTTTTTTTTCGAAAATCACAAAAAAATATTATAACTTCAATACTACTTTAGCTATTTACAAGAAATTTAGCAGGAATTTAGAGTTATATAAACTACACAAAATGACATCAACAGGACTTTCGTAAACAAACTATAAATGGAGATTTAAAAAAAAACCTATAAGGAGTTTTTGTTTATTTATTCCTTATGTAGGCTTTAAATAAAACAAAATATTCATACGGCTTTGAATAGCAATAATTAAGCTTTCAAACGGATGCAATAACATCAAATTTACAAAACATACTGAAGAGTTATGAATGATCGGAAGAGTCCCCACACCTCATTGCTCACTCGCAATAAATAATTGAGCCTTGGATAAGACCTTTTGACCCACCCTCCCTATTCACCAGACCTCCAAGGGACTACTATTAATTCCAGTCTCTGCAGAACTCCGTGAATGGAAAGAAATTCCAAAAGGAAGAGAACATCAAAAAACACGCATCAGTTTTTAAACAATGAACATGGCAATATTCAGTAAGTGGAAAGATAGGAAAAAATCATATTAAATAATGGTCAATATATTGTAGATTAAAATAAATTTTATGTCTATAATACATTGAGTTTTACTTCAACCTGAAAACCGAAAGGACTTATTTGTCAATCTAATATTAATAATAATGAA